TGGGAAGGACGCAGGAGCCACGGGCGGCAGAGGGTCCGGCACTGAGGGCCTGGCTCAGGACAGGGTGGCCCAGGTGGAGTGGCCGAAGCAGCACCTTTCTGTAAATGGAAGCTTGTGATCAGGCTGCACAATCCCTGTGCGGTTACTGTAGCATCATGTACAAAGCCCCTGCGGGAATTGGATCACAGTGCACTGTCATTAATCCGTTTCAGCACGAGATGGCTTTTTTTTTTCTTCCCAGTAGCTTTTTCCAGCCTTGGTCTCCTGAGAAGTTTGAAAAAGACAAACTCACCTTCAATTTAAGCTCTGTAGCATTAACAATATGTTCATAACTGGTTATTTAAAATGTATCTTAATTCCATTAATAAATATTTATCGAGTGTCCATATAGTGCTTGAAACTGCTAGGTACTGTGAACCTCTGTAGATGATTCATTGAATCCATAAATATGTATTGAGCACTTATGATGATCTTATTTCTGCTAGAAACCCGAAATACAAAGATGAATAAGACTGGGTCCTCACTGTGAATCAACTGAATGGTCAAGGAAAAAAACCTAAAGACATAGGCAGTGTATTATTTTGTGGCATAGATATGCCTGGAATGAGATGGCAGCACAGATGAGTGCATGTTAGGGGAGGAAAGGTAGATGACTTCCTGGAGGAAGAGGCACCAGAGTAGAGCTTCCGAGGACGTGTTTCAGCATTTAGTGTGTGCCAAGCAAGCGTTTCCTCGACTCGTAGGGGAGGAAGGCCCCCCAGATGGAGGAAACCTGGGGAGAGCTGCCAGAGTTTCTCTAGAGTTTGTGCAAAGGCAATAGACATGAGTTGCTGTGGTTCGAGACAGATTGTGTTGTCATGTTGGCTGTGTTCTTAGAATGGGAGTCAGCATTATGATCGGAGGCACACCACCCCATTCAGCACTTACCCACCAACCGCCTCGTGTTCTGCAGCAGTCATTTAGCACAGGCTGGGGGTACGGCCCTGGGAACGCTTGAAGATGGGCACCACTCATGTGCGTGCTACTCTCTGCGAGCAGTGTATATGGTGTGTGCCCTCTTACTACTTGCTGATGGAGAACATGGCACTGTCCTCCGGGATGGTCACCTACTTCGTTTACAGACAAGGTCAAAGATCCCTCCAAATCCACTCTCTGAGAGCAATTGACGTGTAAGTGCAGAGTTGTGTGCTTCCGATCATCATCGCTGTCGCAGCTGAGGGAAGGTCGGACAGTGTAGGAGAAGGTGTGGAGGCAAACTGAGGGGGTCAGTGGACTGGAGAGAGCTTTACAGTAGCTGTGGAGGGGACTGAAGCTAGCGGATGGCTTTGCTAGCTGGGATTTGGAGAACGAGGGTGACACATTCACGGGATGCTGAGGGGACCAGTGAGACTGACGGCATCTACAGGAGGGGTCTGGTTATAGACAGCCTTGGAAACCAAAGATTGGAACTTGAGGCTGAGGCCAGGGTGGTTATGTGCAAGCAAGTGGCGTGTAAGGCCGGGTGATTCCCAGCTGCGTGAGGGTTGGGTGATAGTGGGGTGTCAGTTTGAGTGTCCTGCAGTGTTTACACCTAAAGGAGAACCTGTTATGTTGCCCTGGTTACAGATTCAGGGTCTGATCTGAGGGTCGTAACTAGTCATGGTGGAGGTGAGGCTGTTGAGCAGGTCACCAGGGCTCACGTCGTGCCCCTGACTCCCCAGAAAACGACTTCATTTTGCCTTAATTCATTTTGTCCTCCAACACTGAGGCCCTTTGTTATTGCTACTGTTGAGTAAGGAAAAAAAAGTCTTGTTCAGGGTCACATCACGTAAAGGCCTCAAGACACATACAAAGGAAGTAACAGCTTAAGACCACAATGGGAAGGAAGGTCTTGGTGCTTTAAGAGCAAGCCAAAAGCAGTCACGCTCAGACGGAGAAGCAAAGATTCTTCTTGCTGACAAATGACATGTAGATTTTGTAAAGAAAGGGAACCATTCGTGGTGACATGGGTCATAGTCAATATAGGGCCGAAATGTTGAACCCTCCAACTGGAATTTCCAAATTCCCCCCTTTGTCAAGTGTGGTACAGACAGATCTCCAGCTTTCCTGTGGGGCTGGGCCCTGGGAGCTGCACAGCCCCTCCCCCGAGGGAGAGTCCCTAGAGCGCTGACTCCTGTACGCTCACCTTAGCTTGCTGCCCATTGCTTTTGTCACTCTCCCCATGCAGACAAGCTGTGTGAGTGGTCATCCTTAGACAAGGTGCTGGTTTGAAAGAAACAGGCGACTGCAGGTTCCTAAGTACAGAGGACCTTACATGGAAATAGTCTTTGTGAAGCTCCCAGAGGCAACACATGAATGGATTACACACTGTTGAGCCAACAGAGTCCTTGAGTGGCGCAGATTCCTTTAAAAGCTGGACCATTGCCCAGCCAGAGTGGCTCAGTTGGTTGAGCATCGCCCTGTGCACCAAAAGGTTGCCAGTTTGATTCCCAGTCAGGGCACATACCTGGGTTGCAGGTTCAATCCCTGCTCAGGGCATGTATGGAAAGCAACCAACCGATTGATGTTTCTCTCTCACATCAATGTTCCTCTCTCTGTTTCTCTCTCTCTGCTCTCTCCTTCCCTTCCTCTCTCTAAAAACAACAACACAACAACAAAAAGAACGGGACCATTACTTAGTCCCTGGGCCCGAGCCATGCTTACAGGGTGGGACTGGTATCCTAAGATTTCCATGGAATCCCCTGTCTCTTGCTTCCACGTGTGGATAATCAAGGTACATTTTAGTGACTGGGGATGGCTTATAGCACAGTTCTTAACTGGAATCCATATTGAAAGTGTATATTTTCTCACTCTCTTTTTCTCTCTCTCTCCCTCTCCCTCTCTCCCCCCCCCCTCCTTTATATACATACTAGAGGCCCGGTGCACGAAATTCGTGCACTGGGGGGTGGGGGTCCCTCAGCCCAGCCTGCCCCCTCTCACAGTCCGGGAGCCCTCAGGGGATGTCCTACTGACAGGGAGCAGGCCTAAGCTGCAGTCTGGCTGCAGAGGCTCAGAGCAGGCGCCCCTCTGTGTTGATCTCTCAGGCTCGGGGCCGCACCCGGCCTCACCTCCTGAGCTGGTTGTGACCCTTACGGAGTCCTGACCTCATTTGCATATTACTTCTTTTTATATATTACATGCACATACACATATATCCTTAGTTAGGCCTCAATTTTATTAGCAATTTGCTCTCCGTTACCACTTAGAATTCTTAGTCCATTCCTGACTCTGATCTACTGTAAAAAAAAAAAAAAAATCACACACTCTTTTCTTGAAGTGCGTGGGTTCTCATCACCTCTCTGACTCTGATTTGGTGGGGAGTGGGATTCAGGTGCAGAAATGTGCTTTTATGTCTTGCTTTTTTGCCCGCGTGTGCTGCTCTCCGCTGACAGAGGGCTTCTCACTTGGGCTGCACATTTGGAGTCATTTGAGGAGCTTTATAAAATACGAGTGCGTGGGCCCTGTCCCCGGAGATCTGACTGAACAGATCTGGGTGAGGCCTGGGTACGAGAATTTTAAAAATTCCGGGTCATTCTAACGTATATCCACGATTGCACCTTGCCCATCTGCAATTTTCCACCAACATTTTCCACCGGCCTGAAGTGGAATCCAGGTCAGGATCTGCCTTTGGATCTGGGCCATCACGATTCCTAATTTTAGCCCTAGGCTTTTAGATTTATAGATGGAGAGGATGAGGCCCAGAGGGTGGGTTTCTTTCCAGGGGCAGCCCTTGCAGGTTGGCCAAAAGGAGAACGCTGACAGGTAGCCGCCACCCGCATTGGAACTGTAATTTTAGGCTCGTCTTCGTATACTCCTCATTCATACTTGCTTTATTTTCATTTTTACGGTGAAAGTCACAACAACATTATTTATTTTTAGCTTTATAGGATAAATATTCTACTTGTAAAACTGTTTTCTCTGCAGTCCAAACATGCTTATGACGCATGTGAGCACACCTACAAGTATGTCATGAGGTAAGGAAACTCAGAAAGACGATGACTAAGTTCCCATCTGGGGCCTCAGAATAATGTTATTTACTACTAGCCTCGGCCTTGTGGGAAAGGGGTAGATAGCAAACCTAGCGATACATTTCAAATTACTAGTTTGAAGTGACTACTGAGAAACATTTTCCTTATGCTAGAACTATCTTTTAGGCAAGGACTTTAACTTTAAAAAAAATAGCATGACTCTTTCCCCCAGAGTAATAAACCAAGTTCCTTTGCCAAAAAGAGCCATAAACTGGGTGCCCACACAGGGAAATCAGTGCTAGAGAGGACTGGGGGCCCCTGCTGCTGAGTCTTCCCATGACGTTGTCTGTGTGGTACAGTGTCGTGGTAGAGGTATTGTGTCCAGTGACTGTGGGATTGAACACAGTGTCACGTTTAATTGGAGCAGGAAGCACACGCCGCTTTGTGTGTGAAGCAGATACACTGGAGCGAAAGGCCAGTGCTTGGCCGAGGGCCAGAACCCACCAGCCACAGGGGGCCCCAGAAACCCTAGAGTAGGGTGAGTGCTCTGTCCCGGGCTGGGACGCACTCCTGCTAACACGTGGCGAAAAGACCACCCCTCTCTGTCCTTTAAATTCCAGAGCCAGCAGCTCTCCCCATCCTGGAGTTCCTTTTCTGGCCTCTCCCTCGCCCTGTCCTGTGCCCCTCCTTGCCTGTTGGGAACTTAGCGACTTGTCCAGGGTCACAGGGGACTTGGTTCTTGTTGGCAGGGCTGCCGCTGTGTGAAAGTGTCCGAGCCTCCGCTCCACGTGTCTTGAAGATTGTTATTTTGACTTTGTGGGTCATTTGGTGGGTGGCCGGCTGAGTGATAATTCTGAATAGTAACTCTGGAATTTTATGAATCAAAAAGACAGAACTCCCACTGCACGTTGAAATGTGGGAGGATGCCTCCCGGGCTCTTGTGAGTCACACAGGGGGGAGGGAGAGGAGGACTTGGCGCTAATGGACACTTGGGTTTTTTTTTCGCCCCCGCAGGTCCCCCTCCTGCTGGTTACAGTCCCAGCAGTCCCGCCCAGATTCTAGAAGACCCCAGCTACTTTTTCCCGGACTTCCCGCTCTACTCGGGGAGGCATGAAGCGCCGGCTTTGACGGTGGAGGCCGGCAGTACCATCAGGGAGAAAGTTGGTAAGTTCTTTCACTGGCACTGGTGTTGGAAACACAAAAAGATCTGATGTGTCTCATGTTTAGCGCTTTTGCATACTTTTTTTTCTCTGTGCTCATTTTAAAAAATCAGCATGTGGGATTATTGGTTGTCTCTTTATTGGCAGGTGCCTTATTTGTAATGTTTGTGCTACGGTGTTAATAGACTATCTTACTATAACTTGTGATTCAGCAGAGAGAGTTCCTAGGTATGTAGGAACCTCAGAATTATACCATTTATTCCCTAATTTTTCTCTAATTCCTAAATACATTTTGGTACTCCTTTCTAGAATCTTTCCTTTTTTATTTTTTTCCTTCTTTCTACTTCATTTTATTTTTTTATTTTATTTTTTTTACAACTCTTTTTTAAATAAATCTTTATTGTGGGAGGAAACTGTCTCCTTTGTAAAAATTTCCTGCCTATTTTTGAGGTAAAACTATGAGGGAATTTTTTATTTTTAAATATATTTTTTAATTGATTTCAGAGAGGAAGGGAGAGGGAGAGATAGAAACATCAATGATAAGAGAGAATCATTGATTGGCTCCCTTCTGCATGCCCCCCACTGGGGATCGAACCTGCAACCCAGGCATGTGCCCTTGACCGGAATCGAACCAGGGACCCTTCAGTCTGCAGGCACGCGCTCTATCCACTGAGCCAAACCAGCTTAGGGCATATAAGGGAATTTTTAAAACCACTTTAGGAAGAATCTCAGGGTCCGAATGTGCTTGTGAAAAGAGAATGTAATCGTTTTCATGCTTGATGAGACCCCATTCCTTTTATTATTCATCCAAAAAAAAAATCATTTTCCTCTGGATATACATTTTTATTTTAATAAAATAAAAAATGATTTTTATTTGAATCTGCTTATTCCGGTAAGCCTTTCAGATCAGTTATCCTGAGGGTAAGGGCGTCCTTTTTGACTCTCCTGCCCCCGCATCTGTCAGGAAGCCTGACGTAGCAGGTTTCAGTCCGTCTTTGTTTAGTGAGTGAGGCCCAGTTCAACCCACACTGATCACTCTTTCCATGGGTCGTTCATCACTTACTACGATTATTTGGCAGTTCACCTTGCATGGACCTTCCATGATCTGTTTTTACTGTTTAAAATGTGTTGCTGTTGAACTTTGGATTTATATTTCAGATGCAGTTATCTGAAGGTAAGGAATAAGTTTGAATGTACTCCACGCATGCAATCCTCTGAGGCAGATAGGAAGTCTGCCCATTTTACAGGGGAGAGAGGTTCAGAGAAGCCAAGTAATTTGCCTGAGGTCTCAGGTGAGGTTCTGGGGAGACGGGGAGAGTGGTATGGTCAGCGTTGAGCTTCAGGAACCATCTGTAGAGCTCTGTACCTTACTCGGCCATTATTTCCCGAAGGCCTTCTGAGGTCAGAGCAGTGTTCTAGGCACTGGCGATGCAGCGTGTGAACGTAGCAGATAAACTCTTCACCCTCTGGTGTTTGGGTCTAGTAGAGGAAGACAGGTAATACATACAGTGTGGATTGAAAAGAGAAGAGGCCAGAGGCTAGAGATATTCAGAGACTATTCAGGACATCTAAGCCACTGGTCAGGACAATCAGACCTGGGAATGGCCTAGGGCAGTGGTCGACAAACTGCAGCTCTCAAGCCACCTGCGGCTCTTTGGCCCCTTGAGTGTGGCTCTTCCACAAAATACCATGTGCAGGCGCGCCTGTACAGTGCGATTGTAACTTCGTGGCCCATGCGCAGAAGTCGGTATTTTGTGGAAGAGCCACACTCCAGGGGCCAAAGAGCCACATGTGGCTCGGGAGCTGCAGTTTGCGGACCACTGGCCTAGGGCATGGAAGTCAGAGTCACAGTCTTTGCTATTGCTGAGACACTAAAGATGTCATCTACTGTCACCTTTTCTCATATTGTAATACCAAAGAGAATAAGTGGTATATAGTCCTTGCCAAAAGAAGACAGTAAACCTAATGGAAGGTGTCTATGTGCATACTCATGTAAATGTGGAAGTATGTGTATACTAGTATTTATATATATACTAGAGGCCCAATGCACGAAATTCGTGCAAGAGTAGACCTTCCTTCCCCTGGCTGCCAGCACCAGCTTCCCTCTGGCACCCGGGACCCGGGCTTCCCTTGCAACCCCGGCTTCATCTGGAAGGACGTCCTGTCTAATTAGCATATTACGCTTTTATTATTATAGATAAGCATATTACTCCACTTTTATTTTTTTGCTCATTTCACTGTGGACTAAGAAAACCTAGTTTGGCGGTTGATTAAATAGAGGGTGCAAAGGAGACAGAAGGTCAGAAGTAAATCTGAAATTTCTGTCAGGATGACTCATATGAGGATGCCATTTATAGGTTTAAAAAAAGGCAACCTTGGGAAAGAGAGAAGGCTTTGGGGGAAATGACGTGTTCTATGTATATATAGAAACACAGCCATCGTTGCTTGGCATTGTAGAACTGAAGGCTGCTTAGCGATGATCTACTGCATCTTCCTCAATTTACAGGTGAGGCTGTCGAGGTAGGAGAGAGTAAGTGATTTTCTCAGGGTCATGCCCGTAGTAAGTGGTACAAATTTTACTACCATGCTACATGTTATCTTCAATATGCTACGTGCTAGTACTGTTGTGAAATGGGGTAACTTATATAGGGTTTCCCACACTTTGAATAATTTTAAAGACAGTGTTTATTAAAATACATTTCATTTTTAGAATTAAGCTATAAGCTGTTAAAGTGTGTATACATTTTTTTGACACCCTGTGTGTGTGTGTATTTAATCTTCACCCAAAGATATGCTTTCATTGATTTCTAGAGAGAGAGGAATGGAGAGGGAGAGAGAAATAGAGAGTGAAATATCGATTGGTTGTCTTCTGTACACACCCTGACCAGGGATCGAACCCACAGCCTAGGTATGTGCCCTGATTAAGAATCAAGCCCACAACCTTTTGGTGAATGGGACGATGCTCCAGGGCTAAATTTTATATTTCATGGAGCTTGTGTACGTATCCTTTTACTGGTTAAATGTTTGATCCCCCTCACTGGGTTGTGTGCTAGGGAGACCCAAATAAGAAGGCATGACCCTCACCTTTCAGGAGTTTAGGGTCTGTGTAGATAATAATTGCCATCTCCGGTGATCACTGATCTACCGAGATCTGTGCCAATGGAGTAGACATTGGAGGAGGGCTCGAGCCTGCTGGGCTGCAGCAGGAAAGGACTTGCTCAGAAGGCAGCTCTGGAGCTATCGCATGCAGCATGGCGAGGAATCCCCAGGAGGACATGGTGACATGCATCTTCCTAGGCAGAGGGACGAATGTGAGCAAAGGCTGAGGCCAGAGAGAGCCAGCATGTCTGGGATCTATATGTTCTTAGGTGTAATGAGAGCTTAAACTCCAAGGGGTTGCCAATGAGGGTGGGGTGGTGGTGGCCTGAAATGTTGTTGGAAGGTCAGGCAGCACCCACTGCACCAAGCATGTCAAACTCAAAGGCTAACACGGGCCAAATAAACAAGGATTAAGTTTACATGGGCCGCAAAAAAAAAAAGCTTCAGTTTTCATAGAAATGTAGGTTTATTTCGATAGAGACATGCTGAATACAAAGGGCTGAAATAAACGAGTAATCGTTAACATAAAATAATAGAACATGTTAATAAAAATTAGCCGAAACCGGTTTGGCTCAGTGGATAGAGCGTCGGCCTGCGGACTGAAAGGTCCCAGGTTCGATTCCGGTCAAGGGCATGTACCTGGGTTGCAGGCACATCCCCAGTGGGAGATGTGCAGGAGGCGGCTGATCGATGTTTCTCTCTCATCGATGTTTCTGACTCTCTATCCCTCTCCCTTCCTCTCTGTAAAAAATCAATAAAATATATTTTTTAAAAAAATTAATATGTTATTGAACATGAACTTACCAGACGCTGAATAACTGCACAAATTAATAAGCGTAACGCAAATAAACTTATTTTTTCTTGTTCTCCTAAAGCGAAATATTTCCTGTTGTGCACACCAAACAAGTCAGTTCAAGACTAGTGATGTGGCAATCTGCTGCTAAAATATTTGCTGCTAGTATTAGTGGAGAGAAATGGTGCGCCTACACCATTTGGTAGTGTAAGGCACGTAAGGGAAATGAATGCAACATGATTATTAGTAATCAGTCATTAGTGAACGTTCTAGTTCGTTATTAATAATTCTGTATAATAAAATCGTAATATGCTAAGTGTCCGACCGTTCATTTGACCATTCATTCTACTTTTCCACCAGTCATTATGATGCTTACTGATCACCAGGAGGCAGACCCTCTGACCAGTAGGGTAGCTTGCTGCTGGGGTCCAGCCGATTGGGACTGGGTGAGAAGGGCCGGACACGCCCTAGAGCCCTCCCACGATCCCTCCCCGGCCGGCCAGCCCCTTTTGGCCTGATTGGGACTGGGTGAGATGGCCCTGATTGGCCCTGATCGCTGGCCAGGCCAAGGAACCCCACCGTGCACTGGGCCTCTAGTTATGTCTAACAGGATATTGTAAAAATTAAGTTATGAAGTTTTTATTAAAACGTTTACTTATATTCCTGTGTAGATAATTATTGGCTGGATCACAAAAATACTCGTTGCGGGCTACATGTGGCCCGTGGGCCTCGAGTTTGACATGCTTGCGCTACACCGTGTGATAGAATGTCAGTTTCATCCTTAACTAGTTACTGAGGAATTTTGCGAAGAGCATTGATGTGATTAGGTTTTCCAGTTGAGCAATCTTCCAGGTAGCGTGGGAGACAGGTTGCCGCCTGAGGGGTGGGTTTGGAAATGGGAATGAGCCCAGTGTCGGAGAAATAGATGAGCAGGCTTTTGGAATGAATGGTCTGGGGATGAGACGCCAGGGCTTATAAGTGTGGAATGAACACAGATCTTGTTGTGCAGTGAATCAGATCCTGGCTCTTCCTACCTCTGTGACCTCTGATTTACCTTTCCAAAACCTCTCGCCTTATCTGTAAGGTTGGGGGAATTAATATCTGCCTCATATGGAACAAGTGAGTATACGGAGAGAATTTAGTGCAGTGGCATATCATATGCACTATAAAATGGTTCTGTGGTTGTATTGTGGTTATTAATAATCAACCTGGAGATTGGCATGGGAATAAAGAGAATTGGGAGGGATATTTTGGGGGTAGAATTGACAAGCAGTCACTGATCAGGTGTTGGCGGTAAGGGAGAGGAAGGAATTTTAGAAAACTCTCAGGTTTCTGGTTTGTCAAAAATTAGACAAGGTGGGGATGTGGGGGTTGGTTGGTGGATAGGCCTCTCGGGTGAGGAGGACATGCTGAGGTTGAAGGACTCACGGACCATTGGCTGGCAGCTGTAGGTATGTGGGTCATGGGTCAGTCGTTGAAGATGAGCAGTGGATGTGATGACCCCGAGATTCTGTTGAGTGAGGGTGGAAGAGCACTGAGGGCAGAGCTGTGGGAAACACCAGAATTGAGGGGCAGGTGGAGAAAAGGTAGGCTGGGAAGGAGTGGGCAGCGGGGCCGGAGCCAGGACCTGGGTGCCCAGTTAAGAGAGCATTTCAGGAAGTGAGCGATCACTATGCCAGATGCTGCAGAAGGGTTGGTTGTGTCATATGAGAGCTGGAAAGTTCTCACTGGGCTTGGTTAGTAGTCAGAGCAGGAGGGAGGGCCATGCCTGGAGCATTTGGAAAGTGGAGACAGCAAGCGTCCTTTGCTTACTGAGGACAATTAAGGGAAAAGGGAAGGAGAGAGGCAGGGTGTTAGAGGTACATGCAGGTAAGGCCATGAAAAGGGGGTTTCTTTTTGTTTGGTTTTGGTTTTTTGCTTGTATTTTTTTAAGATGGAAAAGATGTGGCATGTTTATATGAAGAAGAGAGGGGGCCATTGGGGAGATTAAAGGAAAGGGCAGGGGTGAAGGATGAGCAAGGCCTAGGACAGTGATGGCGAACCTTTTGAGCTCAGCGTGTCAGCATTTTGAAAAACCCTAACTTAACTCTGGTGCCGTGTCACATATAGAAATTTCTTGATATTTGCAACCATAGTAAAACAAAGACTTATATTTTTGATATTTATTTTATATATTTAAATGCCATTTAACAAAGAAAAATCAACCAAAAAAATGAGTTCACGTGTCACCTCTGACACGCGTGTCATAGGTTCGCCATCACTGGCCTAGGAGGAAGCAGGAGGCCAGAGAAGGGAGAGTATTAGAGACACTTAGAATTGGAGAAGCACTTCCATGAGAAACTGCAGGGTACATGGAGGCGGTGGTGGATTTAAAACCTTGTTACATGCTACTCCGGTTAGAATGTTAATTATTTACCACATACTAACAGACCTATATTGCTGTGGAACAGCCTGATACCTTTTTTTCCTATGTTCACCTTGTAGTTGAGGATCCTCTTTGTAACTTCCACGCCCCGAACTTCCTGAGGATCTCAGAGGTGGAAATGAGAGGTTCCGAGGATGCGGCAGCTGGAACAGTATTGCAGCGGCTGATCCAGGAACAACTGCGCTATGGCACCCCGACCGAGAACATGAACTTGCTGGCCATTCAGCACCAGGCCACAGGGAGTGCAGGACCAGCTCACCCGACAAACAGCTTTTCTTCCTCGGAAAACCTCACCCAAGAAGACCCACAAATGGTCTACCAGTCGGCACGCCAGGAACCGCAGGGTCAAGAACACCAGGTGGACAACACGGTGATGGAGAAACAGGTCCGGTCCACGCAGCCTCAGCAGAACAACGAGGAGCTGCCCACCTACGAGGAGGCCAAAGCGCAGTCCCAGTTCTTCAGGGGGCAGCAGCCGCCGCCGCCGCCGCCGCAGGTGGCCGTGGGTCACGGTTACTACATGGCGGGGGGCACCAGCCAGAAGGCCCGGACTGAGGGGAGGCCCACGGTGAACCGTGCCAACAGCGGGCAGGCGCATAAGGACGAGGCGCTGAAGGAACTTAAGCAGGGCCACGTCCGCTCGCTCAGTGAGAGAATCATGCAGCTGTCGCTGGAGAGGAATGGCGTTAAGCAGCACCTCCCTGGCTCAGGGAGTGGCAAGGGGTTCAAGGCGGGAGGGGGACCCGCCCCAGCCCAGCCTGCAGGTAAAGTGCTGGACCCCCGGGGTCCGCCACCCGAGTACCCCTTCAAGCCCAAGCAAATGATGTCCCCGGTCGGCAAGACCCAGGAGCACGGACTTTTCTACAGCGACCAGCACCCTGGCATGGTCCACGAGATGGTCAAGCCTTACCCTGCTCCGCAGCCCGCGAGAACGGAAGTGGCCGTCCTGAGGTACCAGCCACCCCCGGAGTATGGGGTAACGAGGTGATTATCGAGCCTAGCCCTTTCACTCGGCTTTTCCAAACGCAGCAATCACGTTTTTAGCATTTGTCATTTTCAAGGCATGTTAGGTTTTTGTCATCGGGGTGTGTGTTTTTTTTTCTCTTGTGCATATTATTGAATAAGCCAATTTGGGGCCAAAATATGTCGAGTGGAACCGATCCGAGGGCAGTTGGGGATTTATGAGTTTAGAGGAGGAGCCTGAGTTGTTGGCGGTCCGTGGGCGCTCTGCCTGGTGGCCAGGCAAAGCGGGAATTTTCCTGGCTGGCTCTGTGGAAAGCATCCGAACTCCTGGAACATATTATTACTATGGGTTTTATAGGCTGTTTCTTCATTGTAGGTTTTAAAGGAAAATGTAGTCTCAATGCTTTGGACGGTGGAGTTAAAGGGACCGTAGAAATCCTATAGTCCCATCCCCGTAGTCAACAGATGACAAGCTAAAGCCTGGAGAGATTAATAAATTTCCACAGTGCACACTCCGAGGCAGCTGGAGCTCGGCTCAAGTGTCCTGGCTGCCAAAGTCCTTCCCCTCCATGACCCTTAGCTGCTCTTCTGACTGGTTGATGGGGTCGGCAACACTTACCGGGAGTGTATCCTGTGCAGCCGTGGTTCGGAGATAAGGATATGGTCCTTGCTCTCGAGGACCTGCAGCACTGTCTCCAGGGAGACCGGCATCTGAGCACATTATTGCAGTGCAGGCTGCTGTTTTAGGACAGGGTGTGAGAGAGCGCCGGGATGACTCACGACCGGAGGGAGTGGGGAGAGCACCACCGGGACGGGACATCTGAGTTGGGTCTTCAGGGATAAATCAGAGCTGGGGGTTGGCGGTGAAGGAGCAGGAGGTACTATGCAGGGGGGTTATCGTTGCTTCAGGCAGTTTAGGAGGTTTTGTCTGAATTGAGCTGCCGTCCTGCAGAGCTCTGGTGGGATAGGGTGTGGTAAGAGGTGGAAGAAGATGTGTTTGGACGTGGAAGTTGAGACCAGTGGGTGAAGGTCTTTAAGTGTCATCATACTCAGAAGTTTAGAATGTATCCATAAACAATTGTGGTTTTGGCCCTAGCCGGTTTGGCTCACTGGATAGAGCGTCAGCCTGAGGACTAAAGGGTCCCAGGTTTGATTCCGGCCAAGGGCACATGCCCGAGTTGCGGGCTCGATTCCACCCCCCACCAGTAGGGGGCGTGCAGGAGGCAGCCAATCAATGAATCTCTCTCATCATTGATGTTTCTCTCTATCTCTCTCCCTTCCTTTCTGAAATCAATGAAAAAAATATATTTAAAAAAATTGTGTTTTTGTGTTTTTTTAATACATTTTTATTTATTTCAGAGAGGAAGGGAGAGAGAAACATCAATGATGAGAGAGAATCATTGTTCAGCTGCCTCCTGCATGCCCCCTACTGGGGATCGAGCCCACAACCCCGGCATGTGCCTTGACTGGGAATCAAACTGTGACCTCCTAGTTCATAGGTCAACGCTCAACCACTGAGCCATATCAGCTGGGCCATAAACAATTGTTTTTAAGAAGAGACTATGTTGGTGTTTAATAAAAAGGCTGACTTCGGTGGCAGTAAGGGCCAATTGGAGCGAAGGGAGAATGGAGGCCGTGAGGACCTCCAGGGACAGTTTCAATAGCCCAGATAGGAAATGGTGAGGGTGGCGTAGGTTTGAGACCATGGTCTAGGGCAGTGGTCGGCAAACTGCAGCTCAAGAGCCGCATGTGGCTCGAGAGCCGCAGTTTGCCGACCACTGGCTAGGAGCATGATGATGTGCTAAGAGAGGAGGGGAAATAGAATTGACAGGATTTAGTGATTGCCTACGGGTGGACGTTGAGGAATAGGGCAGTTGAAAATAAGGCGGTTGGCAATCGCTCAGGGGGGAAATGGGCGTTTGCCAACATTTAGATGTTGCTGTCTTTGCCTGCAGAGAGAGAGCATGGGGCATGAGGAGAGAAGACAAGTGGCCACGGCCTGTTTATTGGACAGTCTTCATTCTCACAAAGGGCTTATTTGTCTGTTTCTAAATCGAATGTGCTGAGGCTTCTCCTTGTGACCGCAGCGGTGGTGTGCAGGGCATACCTTGGTCTGCATCTTCTGAAAAGGGAGTGACTGGCCTTGGCAGAGAGAGAGCTGGCCGGCCGTCCACTCCCTGCCCAGCTGCTGACACCTTCCCCCAGGAGGTTGGGAAAGCCAGCTCTGAAGCGGTGTGCCAACATTCTAGACTCCTGACAGGCCCAGAACTCCTTCCTCGCGTGGGCACAGTCTGACCCCGCTGGGGAATCCAGGATGGGGCTCGGGGCTCCTGTTCTTACCCTTTCTCAGTCCCTTAGCCAAAGGAGAAATTTAAACTCAAAAAACTACCGGTTTGAAGAGGAAAATAAAGTAGTCTTCATATCTCTGCTGTTTGCACCACATTGGTTTACCATAGCTGCTTAAAATAATCCATGGGGTTTTATCCCATAGAATGGTAACAGGGTTTAGTTTGCGATAGTTCACATTTTTCCCCTGAATTTTTAACTCAACCTCCAGAGCTCGACAGAAGGTGAAAATATCCCCAGGTGAAGTCTCCTTCCTCCCCTTTGGAGTCACTGTTTGTTAATAAGGCGGTTCGCAATGCATAAAGTGGGCTGTTTTGCTTTTCTTTACTTGGCAGTAGGTGCGATATAAAGTGGGAGGGGGAAAGCACTTCTTGGAGATCTACCCCTTATTTGTGGAAAGTGTCATTTGTCTCAAATGTGTGACGTCAGAAAGAAAAAGAAATGCAGGAGGGATTTGAGCCAGTTGCCAGACTTGGCAGCTAGATTGACATGACATCAAAATGTCCCGGGAGACGCAACAGACGGGCCATTGAGGCTGGGCCCCAGCACCACAAGGCCCCTTTGTGAGCCTGGCCATGGCCAGCCAGCGTGGCTCCGGCGGCACAGCCTTGGCTGACGGGGTAAACAAAGTTGCCTCCACACCATTTCTGCTTCAGTTGCATTCGCTGTGGCCTGAGCTCCAGGGGCTGGATCTGAAACTCAACACTGAGTGATGTACAAGTCATCTTTGACCCAAAAGATGAGCAAGACGCTCCGGTTTCACGGACACATTCCCTCGTGCTTAAAGGGTATTCTGTTTGTCATTGATGGTGATGGTTTAGAAAGCCGCAGGCTATTGGCTCAATACACCATAGACTCCTGGAAGAGGAGAGGCCTCCGAGTGAGATCGCTGAGTCCATTTCCTTGCCTGGAGCTGCAGAAATGGGCTCAGTATGTTGCGAATACTTATTCTCTCACCTGCTCTGATCTGCTAAAGATGGAGATGTGCAATGGATTGTTGTAAAGCGCGTTAGGCTCCCTTGGTGGGAAGCGCCATGAAGTGGCCGCTAGGGAAGGCCTAGTGCACAGCTTGACTATTGTGTGGGTGAACTCGTGGGGCTGGTGCTAGGGACTGAGGTGAGCTCACCTTGCTGAGGTAGCTGGTGGGGACTCCGGGACCATGAGCCGACATGGATCGGGCTCTGGTTTGCTCCTGTGCCCTCTTCCCTTTCCTGCATCTTGAAAGTGGAAATGGGTAGGAATGAAGACAGGGTGAGAATGGGACAGGTTGTTTACAGAGAATTGTGTCTTTAAAAAGAAAAAAAAGGCAAGCATTTGGATATTGATTCTGACTCACTTTGTGAAAATAGAGCACTTCCAGGGTGATGAGTTGGCTCAGGCTGGCTGGGCCGTTAACGGAAGTGAATGCATGAATGAACATCGGTGGATGATCTGATTTTTATCAGAGCAGTTGGAGTAATTAGTCAAATGCATGTTTATTTTCCCCCCAAAATCTGTCCATATTTCCAAAGTGGAAACTAAAGATACTAAAAATCACTTAAAATACCCTAACCGGTTTGGCTCAATGGATAGAGTGTCGGCCTGCGGACTCAAGGGTCCCAGGTTCGATTCCGGTCAAGGGCATGTACCTTGGTTGCGGGCACATACCCAGTAGGGAGTGTGCAGGAGGCAGCTGATTGATGTTTCTAACTCTCTATCCCTCTCCCTTCCTCTCTGTAAAAAATCAATAAAATATATTTTTAAAAAATAAATAAAAATAAAAATCACTTAAAATATTCTACTTTTGTAATACGCCCACTGTTAAACTTTTTCCTATACAAATTAATTTTCTCACATGTTATAATCATAGACTATACTGAGTTTAGTATCTTAGCTTTTGTTAGATAGTATCTTATCATGTTTTTCCACAATGTTTGTTTCCATAACCATCCTTTTATTACTGCATTTCATAAAGTATATAATTTACATCACTTTATGAATAACATTGTGAGCATCATCATGCATATCAAATTTTCCATATTTTGGTTTCGTTCCTTAGGAATCATTATTTAGAAATGAAATTATTGGATAAATTTTAGTGAACATTTAATAAAAGACTTCTGACACTGAATAACTTTGCAAAGATATTATAGTGCCTGATCACTGTACTTTGACCAACATGAGGTCAGTACAATTAGAAAAACTTGGCTAATTAGTGTTAACTCCTGGAAGTTAACAATTATCAGCTAGGTTAAATTTGGGGAGGGTATATTGTAGTAGTTAGATTATTCTGATCTTGAACGTTGGTTCTCTGACACTAGCTCTGATTTTCAGTTTCTAGAACTCCATTGCCACCCTTAGCAGGTAACAGTGGAGCACAGGTGGTGTTGGCAAGAGGCTGCACCTCTGAGTGCCTGCTGTGTGCCAGGCCCCTGGTGTGGGTTATCCTTAATCTTCCCAACACTCCTAAGGGGTGCATACTATTAATATCCCTGTTTTCACAGGTGATAAACCTTAGGCTTAGGGAGAGAGATTAAAGTAACTTAGTCACGGGCACCAGCTGGGAATTATAGGAGCCAGGGTGCACCTTGGATCTGTTGTCCCATACTGCGCCTCCCGTGAGTTCACACTGTATGTATATGTGTCTACTCTATGCTGCAGTGGATGCAAAGATTTACGTTTTCACTTGTGTGACC